TTAAGTAATTAAGGTCATGGATAACAATGATCAACTGTTTGCTTTCAGATATTTTCATTGTATATTTTCTCATTAATGTTAATGATCAAAATGAAATTAGTCACATGAATATAGCGGTACACATTAAACACAATAAACTACTAGGAACAGATTTTCAATGATGATAATTTATTCCATAATTAGATCTAATAAAACCATGCAGTACATCAAAAAACTGGTACCATTCAAAATTTAGGTAATGATAATGAATAATTGAATTTTAAACGAAGTGAAATATTTAATTAATGTAACGGTTAAACACAGTCACAAGGTTTATATTCTATCTGCTACCTTGGTACTATAGTCTTGTTTATCTAATGTGATATTAAAATTGATGTTTATTAACTGGAATATTTGTTCCTCTAGGGCTTACCATGCTAAGTAGGTTGGTTGAAGTTGTACTGCCAACTTTGTAGAGGAGTAATAATAGTAGTGTATCTTCAGACAACCAGTGTCTGAAGTAGTAATGCCATCTCACAACAAAGGTTATAAATGTTTCCTCTAAAAACGACGGACCTTACTTTACAGATTTTCATAACCAGAAGTGAAGATCTAAAAGCACCGAGCTGACGCATCAATGACTACCCATAAAAAGATTGTATCTCAACAAGCTTACGCAGTTATTCCTTTAGGCACTGTGATCACGCTGTCTGATCGTCAGGACTACGCATAACCCAGCTTTATTTTCAGATAATTAGAGATGTGTCCTTCCACAGTGTGGGTAACCAGAAGATGACAACGGCTCTTATACCTTTAACAACACTGATGATTGCCTTGTTTACGAAAAAAATCACATATGAATAGTTGAATGAATTTTTAGTTCTTATATTAGTTAATAAATCCTAAAACATTAGTTTATTACAAAATAAATTATACAATCCCTGTTTAATGATGGATATAATACTATTTTTGTATGTTGGATGACTCAACAGCTAATCCGACTATTTTTTTTTATTATATAGTACATTTTTTGTTGTTTAGTGTAAAAGTCAAGTCTTAATAACTAAATCCTTCAAGGTTATGTCGTAAATTTTCATATCTTTTAATGCACCATCTGATGTCTACACAGAATAAACTTCGTATGTGCCTATATATTTTATATATTGGGGAAAACTAAGGTACGTCATTAACATAAACCAGAAGTATAATAATTCATGGTTTTCTTTAAAACTGACATCAATTTATATAATAACCTAGTTAGTATAACTAATAAATGGAATGTAAGGAAATAAATATGAGTAAAACAAAGTTAAAAACGAAAGCTTATCAAAGAACAAAATGTTTTAGTAACTATAAGCTCTGTTAAGGTATTAGGAATAGGATGGTAAGTCTATAGATGAGGTAATCAATTTTCATCAAATGAAGTGGTTGGGACATGTATTACATATACTTGACCATCGTCTAACTAATGTTTTCTATAACCACTGATCCTATTATCACTTCTACTAATCTGGTATTTGTCTTAATAGTTTTGTTCTACAGTGCTAATATAGTGTAGCAACTTGAATCGATACAGATCTATAGTAGATTTTTTGTTGTAAATGACTGCATGACTTAGGGAACACTATGTTAAACATGACTACTGAACACTTTAAGGTGCAATGAGAGGGTAACTTTGCTATTTCAGAAAAATTAACACACTGAATAAAATACATTATTTATGTTGGTTGTTCACGGTATCGATCATCTTAAACATGAGTGTATGTAAAATGATATGGTTTATTTTCATTTACCTCCCTGATGAGTATTGATATTCACAACACTCAATGTTTTTCATAATTTTTTATCCTTGTCATTTGAAGACATCTAAAATTCACCAAATGCCCAAACAGCATGAAAACGATTGTGTCACATCCCATTGTGTCTATAAATTTACATGTATGTGTGGAAACACGTACGTAGGGAGGAGCAATCGTGATTTGCAATTAAGGGTGGGTGAACATATACCAAAATGGTTGCAAAATCAGATGAATTCCAATATATCACATAATTCTGATAAACTTCGTCTTCTCATTGCATTATCGAAATTTATCAAAGGGACTAATTGTTTGAAATTAACTCAGTTTCATTTTTTTTTACAATCTGTCATGATTTATTAATTCATAAATAATTGTTATCTATTATATCAAATTTCATTATAAACCGATTTCTTTTATTGTTGTAATCCTCCTTCATGTACTTATTCACTGTATTTTGTGTGGGCAGTGGTAAATGGATTTTGTGGCTGTCATACTTCAATTCTAGTTTGTGTATGAGTAAACAGTTGATGTTTCACTAAAACACTGAACATTTTATGGATTATTCTTGTTATATCCCGATAAGAATAATGAATGATAATTCTTGGGATCCATTTATGGAGCGATACTATGAGTATATTTTCATCGTATAATTGTTATGTAACTAAACTGTTCATATTCACGTCCCTCTTATTACGAGCTTTATTTTGATATATGAACTATTATAATACGATTTATCATTCTTGAATTATTCCCTGTCTGTTAATAACTACCTCCCTCATTCATAGCCACATTTGGCCAAATATTGTACAAATGTGGTTTCCTATTTTATGGTACGATGTGGTCTGTTTGATTGGTATATAAACCCCGTATGCTTGAAATAAATGATTCATACTGTAGAAGCTGAGATTGGTGTTCTGGGCACAACTGCCCGAGCTAGGCAGGAAGAAGTACCAATAAGGACTCTAGACTGTTCTCACGTGTTTTATGCGTTGCCGATCCGATCGATAATTCATTGTCCTTTAATTGGCGGTATTATCACATTATACATTAACAGGGCACACAGGCCACAAGTTATAACAATTCTCTTATCAAACATTTGAATTCAATAGATGTAAAATTATCTAAAATCAACCAACATATTTATTTTATAGTTTACATCACGGACTGGACTTAATCAAACAACCATTGGAAACTAAGATGATTTATACCTATTTAATGAAGTTTTCATTTCGAGCTAACAACTCACATGAATATATAACAATTATGTACGTTTTAGAAACCGGCTTAGCGATTGTTTTTATTCAGAAATTATATTGAGGAGTTGTGATCATCTTTGAGTCATTATTTGTTTGAATTTTATTTCTGTCTTTAATATTTCAATTTCTTTCTAACATTTGTTATAGTATTTTTAATTACTATTGTTTGAGTAGAATAGTGTTTTAGTGGGTTGTTTCTCCATGGAGAACTACCACAACCATCATCAAAAAGGTACAAGTATTTATAAACATTTATCTACAAAAGATACTCACTGTTCATTGGCCGCATACCACCAGCAACAGTCCACTCTGGAAGACAACAATTCAAATTCCAGTTGAGGAGGAAATTAGAAAGAGACGTTTGAAGTAGATAGGATACAGATTGAGGAAATCACTAAACTGCATCATGAAGCAATCGCTGACATGTAATCCTGAATGGAAACGTAAAAGTAGGAGGTTGAATAACATACTGCACAGAGAACTGTAAGCAGACATGAAAAGGATGAATAGCAAGTGTAAAGAATTGGAAATGTTTGTTTGTGACAGAGGTGGATGGAGAGTACTAGTGGGTGGCCTATGCTCCTCCATGTGTGGGGTGGGGGTAACAGACATAAGTAAGCAAGGTACAGTAGTACTAAAATTTGCATTTATAAATGCTTCACTTGATAGAATGCTTCAATCAACTTTGCAATATAGAAATAAAATTTGAGTATTTTGGTTACTCTTGTATCAATCGGTGATGATATTATATCTGAATTCAATGTGTTCTCTTAACAGAAATTTTGAATTAAAGCAAGATTCAGTCAGGATATTTTAAAACCATGTAACTAAGCTGTCCAATTCACTTGGGCTTTATAACGTCCCTATTTGAGTTACTAAATTAGGCATCCATAATGTAGTACTGAACGAAACGACTAGTGACAATATGCCAAAAAGTTGTATTAAATAATCTTCTTACTCAGTGATTAATAGTGATTACTGTTCATCCATGTAAATAAATGTAGTCATTACTAGATTATCTCCGACATGGCCGAACTCAACTTGTCAGATTACACTAGAACTCTGACAATTTTTTCTAGAAATTAGTTATTAGAGAGTACACGATTACCATTAGTGTAAGGGATTAGTGGTGATTTTTAAGTTTTATAGTTTGCATCCGGACTTGAGTTTAGTTAATTAACCACTAAAAACTAGGAAGCAGTAGGAAGTTGTTACATTTTATTATTAGATTACTCAGTAGTTTACAGGGATCGAGCGCAGATTCATCAGGTCCTGTGTCTAGAGTTCATCTTGACTTCATATTAGTACTTCTGTAGAGTCACATACTAAGACGAAACAGCGGTTCAGTGGTTCCAAGTTTACAATGGTGGTCTAGCACTGATTGGTTCATAATTTCACAACCCTATACTGATAATTATTATGTGCTCATTAACAACTAGTTTCGAGAGGGAATTCTAAGAGTTCTAATGAGAAGCCGTTTATACTTTTAACAGTAGGATATTTTTGGGGTCAATTTTCCTTTAATCATACAACATTTGACAGAAAAGCCAGTACAACACATAGACACATCACTTACATTTGATCTATTCATGGTTTCATCAAGGAAATATTTAATAAACTAATTCAATTAACCAATAGATAACAGACTAATGTCACCAATCAAATTAAAAACTTATAATAAACCAATAAACTTTTAATTGTATTTTGCCTAATATTTTAATTGGTTAATTAAAAACCATATGTTGATGAGTCGATAACATTTATTTCAATCCTTCTTAGAGTTAATCGAAATGTTCATATTGTGAATTACTTTCAACAACTCTCCTAATATATAATGTAATCTATCGAGATTTATCATAGAAAGAATTGTTGTTTGCTAAAGGGGATTTAAAACTAACTTTTGAAAAGTATGTATCAACCTAATAAAAATAATAATAATACTTCTCATTATTGTCCAGAATACTCAATGGGAAATTGTTCATTATGTAATCACGCAAATTATGGTAATGAATATTTACATTCAGAAAATGACACTAACAGTGATACTTCATTCCAAAATTTGTATAATATGTCAAACTCTTTATCATATCCACTACTTTGCAGGGAGTTTCATAATACACTAACTACTAATACTGATTCTCAAAATATAGCTTCAGCAGATACAATGCAATCAGATATATCAACAAATTATGATACTACATTATTGATGAATACAATAAGAGATTTTGGATGGCCATATTTTGAAAAATCCACTTCTGCTTTTTCTTTATGTTCACATGGAAAATCCAATTTCAGTTCAAGTTATCGTGATTGTCGTCTGCGTTATATTAAACAAACAAGAAAACTACAAAAATATCTTCGTGTTACACCTGAAGGTCATATATTAGTGAATAATCCGAAAATTGAACATCACCATATACTACATCATAGTTTACATCAATCACCTGGTACTCAATCTTACAATAATTCCAAAATCAATACATTGGAATGTAAAGGTAACTTAAGTAAATTTACAACAAATGGTCATGATTTATGCAATAATCCATTTGGTTCATTAATTAGCACACCAAAAATTAAACGTATATATACAGCATTTTGGAATTTGGAACCACGTGAAAGTATCACTGTACACAAATTACCCTCATCAAAGACTACAACATTTACAGAATCAACAACTTCATCCCTGAATCATTATACAAATGGTTATGATTACTTAAATAGTACTAATCATGGACAAATTGATGAGTTGGAATTCCCAACGCATAAAAATAGTGATAACAATAAGGATATTACACCAAATACTCCACAGTTAGAACCTTTAATTGAAGATTCTATAAACGATAAAATAACAGATTATCAGATCTAGTCATGAAATCAAAATAATTTAGAATATATTTATATATTTTTATTTATTTCCTTTTCAATTCATTACTTCGCCCTAATTTATTAGAACGAAAACAATTAAAATCAACAATAGATTATTCTCTTAAATCTGTATACATATGCATATTTTTTATGTACATAACAAAATGCATTTATCAACTGAACTAGACTTTTATTTCTGGTATAATATCCTGCTGCTGGTACTACTGCTGCTGATGATGACGATGACGATTATGTTGATGGTGATACAGATATTAATGACTGAAGTATAAGGGTAAGATTAAGATAGATATCTTAAGTTTATGTATGTAGACTGAGTGTTTGAATGATAGACGATAACCAACTTCTGATTACGTTTAGAAGAAAACTTTATATATTTAGAGATTTGTTTCCAGATAGAAGTATTAAGAAAATGTCTATCAATAATATACATATACTTAAGAAAAGAATGGTCAATTAAATTATCTGATAATTTTGTTAACTGATTGAAAAATCGATGATCAGTTAATGACAGGATATTTAGTTATAAGCTAATTCAAACCAAAGATATTTATGCCATAAATTGAATAATATACTAGCAACGTCACAATTGATTGATCGCTGGGTGGTGATCAGATCATGTGTGTCAAGTCCTTATTTAGTGAAGATCAAATGCTATCGACCAGGTTGCAATGTGGCCACCAGTCTAGGCGACTCCGCCAGGGAGCATCAGTTCCCTCAAGATTACAGGTACACCTTGCTGACTAGTGCCAAGTAGCACGAAACCCGGGTCCAGGGTTTCCTATCGACTACCTCCAACCACCATCTAATTTCAATACTAGCAATGTGTTAGATATTAAAAAAAGTTGTTGCCTTGATTCTGTTTTTAAAACTTAGACTATACAACCAATTTTATCTACATTAAAAGTAAAGTGGAATATCTCTTTCAATATACTTTTAAAGTTCTGTTTAAAATATTAGTAAAGAATAGAAAACTACTGAGTAATTAAAAGTTTTTCTAGTAAATATATCGTTGCTTACACGCGTCTTATGTATAGTCATATATTTAATGATAATGATGTTCATGAAACACATGAAATCTTAGATGGAACTTCGAACTATGTTAGTAAACTAAGTATAATCACTCCAAAAATCCAATGAGATCATTTCTATAATAGTCTAACAAAACGATACTAGAAACTTTACTTTTAAAAATAGGTCGATTGATTTAAATCGGTAGTGCAAGAATATAATTTATTTTTTAAACATAAGTTACCATAAATATTATTGGTTACTTTAAGTTCCTAGGAAAGACTTCTAGTAAGTTGGGTTTTCAAAATACCTCATAAAGCTTCAAGACATCATTCTCTTTAAAAATAAAGAGAATTCAGTGAAGAAAACTTTCTTTTCGACGAAATCATTTACTTAAGCTGTGCATTCATAATGATAGTTATATGAAAAATATATGTCTATAAAAGTATAGGAAAGATTAGATCATATATTGATTCGAGACTCTTATTACCGACAATACAAAAGAAAACTTTTTATGAATATGGAATTTGAAGAAGATACGGCTACTGACATCGTAAATAAAAGGATTTTAAAGTCGTTGAATAAAACCTTCTACTCAGCTAATCTCCGAATTGTTTTCTCGAGCCGGCCTAACATTCACGGATGTGTTAAAGATAAACCTCCGCTTTGAACCACATCAAATTTACTTACTCATGTGGGGCAGGTAACATCGACCACACAAAGCAATCACACTCCAAACGCTTTAAAATGAGAATACAAAACAATTACCAGTTCAATACTGGAACATTTAATCAACTGTGGACACATCGCCCTAAAGGAGTCTTCTTTTAAAGTAATTTACACAGTCAAAAGAATTGGATCAAAGAGAAGTCGAATTAATATTTTATGCACTGCTGAGGCATTGGCAATCTACAAACTCAAGCACGAACTTTGCATGCAGAACGATTCGTCTAACCTCTCAACCTTCCTTGGCCCTAATTCCCTTTATTGGTATGTTTGCGTTTTTTTCTTCATTTTCATTTGGTTATTATTTTTTAGATTATTATTTCGTAGTTTTAAACTCTAATCAGTTATTGTTATTACCTTTAAACAAGTTTTCTTGATTATTATTCAATTTTTATTATTATGATCTTTATGTTTGTCATTTTTCTTCATATCTGTCAATTGGACAATTATTTGACCCGTAAATTATTTTCATCTTTATATTCCTTCCTTACCCCTTGATTATTGCGTAACCTCATTTGATAATAAGAATCTATGATCAAATTATGATCCAATCTTTTCTAACTTTCTATAAATATATATTGTCCATACAACTATCAACATGAATGTACAGCTTAAGTAAATGATTTCCTCGAAAAGAAATTTTTTTTTCGCTGAATTATAAATGAATAACTCCAAATTCTTTTGAGCGAAGATGGATGGTGGCTAGCAGGGGAATCTAGGACAAGTGTTTCGTCCTATTCGGGACTCATTAACTGAATGTACCTGCATACCAAAGTTGATGTTCACTCTAGGAGTCAAAACCAGTAACATTCACTTCAAACCCCATCGCGTTATCCATTCAGCTACTGAGTCATGCTAGCCAATTGCTTGTGCGATGAGGTGAAGTTTAAATTCATTTGGTATTGTTTACTTAAATATTCCCATTGATGATTAGGATTGCAATTGATCAGTCTCTTATTGGACTCAGTAGATAAGTGAATACTTGGTTGGAGCCCCAGAATGAACATCAATTCTGAGATACAGGCACATCCAGTTGACGAGTCTGAGATAGGATGAAACGCTTGTCTTGGATTCCACTGCTAGCCACTATCCAACTTTGCTTATAATACTTGTGAATTAAGGTACTATCAAGGCAATATGCACAGTATGCACATATGCCAATAATAGACTGATCAATTGCAGTCCTAATGATCAATGGAAATATTCAAGTAAGCAGTATCAAATGAATTTAAACTCTAAATTCTATTTTTATAATATAAATTTAGAGTTTTTTGCTGTAAACCACGGTAATTTCAATATTTCATATAGTCACCAACACCTTATCTTACGATTTCATCGAATACTTATGTCTAAGTCTGTCTTGATGTGCTAAAACTGATCGCTATTCATTCTTTAAACGTAATCTTTGAACATATATTTTAGTCAGTCAAAAACGTATATTTCCAAAAAGATGACTTTTTCGACTGGGAAAATAAAACATATGTGCCTATTGAACCGAAATGTATTAAGAAATACTTGCCAATAACCTTTTTGTAAATAATATGTCTGAGAAGATTGAAGTTTGATAAGCAAACATCTTACAGTCATTTATTTTAAAGGCATTTTAATCATGATTAATCCTCTGTTTGAATTTTGTACGTTAATTGGTTAGTTTCCTAAGAATAACTTCTTTCTACTAGCTATTCTGTCTCTTGAATCTATTATTTTATTCATTCAGTATTTATGCGTAATAGTTCCTTAGTTGCATGTTACATCAGTTTTTGGCAAAACCAGTTGTAAACTTACAAACAAACATACAATAATTGTTGACAATTTCTCTATTAGTCAAAATTGGAATGACATAATATGCCGTCTACAAATGTCTATGAAACTTCAATGTGTTTATTGCATTGTAAAACAGAATATTCATTTATTATTCCTAGTAATTAGAATGTAAGTGATTTTTATGTAAAGCCCAATTGAAACTATGAAGAAGTGACTTATATTAAGTCATTAAACATCAGAAATACAATTTCCTACTCATTAGAATATCACAAAAGAAGATATTCATTATTAACTTTCTACCCAATGTTCAATTTCCGTGTTACTATCAAGTCCAGCCTGCGCCATTGATACCGATAGAATAATAAACAGTTTATAGATTTTCTCTTATTTACTATTTGGTTAAGTTGAACTCATTCTAAATGTAACAGCCTAGATTGATGCACAAATAAGTCAGGTTGTATGTTTTTTTTATTGAAAATTGAGTTAAAAAAAGCGTGTTACTACCAACATATCATTGACAACCATAAACTATGTTACAAACAATCTCTTCATAACTATTGAAGGTAAGTTTCTTGCTGATATTTGATCAACCATTTAAACAAATACCAAAAATTAAATGGGGCAGAAACCTGGAGAACTACGAAAGCCATCATCCAGAAAATACAGGTGTTTATTAACAGTTGTCTACGCAAAATACTTCGGATCCGTTGGCCGGACACTATAAGCAACAACGTACTGTGGGAGAGAACAAACCAGATCCCAGCGGAGGAAGAAATCAAGAAGACTGGTTGGGAGTGGATTGGACACACATTGAGGAAAGCACCCAACTGTGTCACAAGGCAAGCCCTCACACGGAATCCTCAACGCCAAAGGAGAAGAGGAAGACCAAAGAACACATTACGCTGGGAAATAGGGATAGACATGAGAAAAATGAACAAGAATTGGATGGAACTAGAAAAGAAGGCCGAGGACAGAGTGGGTTGGAGAATGTTGGTCGGCGGCCTATGCTCCATTAGGAGTAACAGACGTAAGTAAGTAAGCAAATAAATCTGATCATTTAATATATTTAATTAATATAGAAAATTGGAAGTAATTACATAACTTATAGATTATTTACATAGAATTAAGTACTATATTTTATGTATTATGCTGATCATTAGCATAGTTTTGACGATTTACATTACCTATTCAAGTAAGGCAAGTTGTAGATGAAGAATATCAACAGATCTAAAACTAAGTTTTTGAATTACTGCATATCATTTAAACATATGTTAAGCTTAAGTGACAGTAATGCTTACAACTTGATCTACACATTTGAGAATAGTTCATGTGAATACACTGATCATCTTATTGTGGTGTGTGCTACTTATATTGCCATAAGTAGTATATGATGTTAGTCGTGAATAGAAGGTCTGACAGCAGAGAGACAAGAGGATCGAACAGCAAAGAATGGAAACAAAATGCAATTTGTATGAAAATGCA